CCTGCCTTGATCCAGGACCAAAGAAGACTCAGCCAGCAGTCCTCAGTGACTATAGACCTCCTGCCTTGATCCAGGACCAAAGAAGACTCAGCCAGCAGTCCTCAGTGACTATAGACCTCCTGCCTTGATCCAGGACCAAAGAAGACTCAGCCAGCCGTCCTCAGTGACTATAGACCTCCTGCCTTGATCCAGGACCAAAGAAGACTCAGCCAGCCGTGCTCAGTGACTATAGACCTGTTGCCCTGACAACCACATTGTGAAGGTCCTAAAGACACTTATGCTGGTTCACCTCAACAAGCAAACCAGCAGCTATCAGAACCCCTGCAGTTTGCTTATTGCCGTGGAGATGGAGTCGATGATGTCATCATCCACCTGCTTCAACCAACCCACTGTCATTTAGCCAAGGCAGGCAGCACTGTGAGGATCATGGTCTTTGATTTCTCCAGATTCAGCCTGACTGACTGTGAGAGAAACTCCAGCAGACTCAGGTGGGGCATCAACAACCACCTGGATCAAAGACTACCTGACAGACAGACCACAGGTTGGTAGACTGAAGACTCAGCTGTCTGATCCAGCAGCACAGGAGCACCACAGGAGACGGTACTCTCTCCATTCCTCTGTTCACCTCTGACTTCCAGGACCAGACAGAGTCCTGTCCTCTGCAGGAATCCTGGATGACTCTGCAGTCATTGGGAGCATCAAAGATGGAGCAGAAGCTGAGGACAGAGAAATAACCCATCAGACAGCGGAGCCTCACAGCGAATGTCTCCTTAAAGCTGCAGGATGGATCCTTAAAAAGAGAAAAGTTTAATATATGCATTAAATCCTTTGCTATGGCCTAACATGATGCTTATTTTTTTTTTTTTAAGTTGGGTTTAACAGTCACTCTTTAACATTCCACAGCAGTTATTGCTCATTTGCTTAACAATCAGCCAGGCTCTCATGTAGGTTTGATTGAATATCTTGTGTATTTGAATGCATTAGACTTTGAATATTTCTTTTAATTATAATTTATAATTTAATATTGGAAGTTTTGTGATATTAATATATGAAAGGCATCAGACCAAAATTTAACCGGACAGTGGTAGGTGGTTAAAAGTTCTGTTTCATCCCTACTGACCGCCACAGGGTGGTGCTGTAATGTCATGGATTCAATGGATTCAATGTTGGGTTACACATGACCTCTTGTGGAGCTCTTGCTGGCTGCCTTGGCAACTCTCTGCAACACCTCATGTTTGCCCTCTCTACATCTGCTCAGGACGCTGGGGGTGCAACTGCGGCGGTTAGATTTTGCACTGCAGGCACTTGTGCTGATGAGCAGAGAGCTTGATGTAATATCTTTTGTTCTCCAAGCTCGTAGACGGTCTGGCTTTCACAGTCTCCTTTGAATGAAGCATGCAGTAGGACCCTCAGGGGTGTCCCAGTTGTGCCAGGGGAGTTTTTTAATTAGCTGCCCTGGAGGTGCTGGAACAGAGTTTTCAGGCACACCATAGTAGCCAGCAGCTTTCTGGCCTTCCTTTTCACAGGATTCAGGGCGCCCTGCTACTACCCCCAGTGTTCGGCCGCAGCCTTGCACTGGTAATAGACCTGGTTGTTTATATTCCGGTGATGTGCAGCACAGACCCAGCTGAATATTTCATGAGCCAATATTCCGCCAGTTAGACAGAACTGGGCCTCGGATCCTGGATGCCTTCCTTCCAGGGCTCCCAAGCACCGGGGAGGATAGAAGATGATGATACTGGGCCAGCTGTCAGACATTTTCCCCATCGGCAGCTGAATTTCTGGGCTGCTCACACTGTAGATCTAGGGTTATTGCTACCTTAACCCATGGCTACAGGCTGCAGTTATGATGGCGACCGTCCCTTTCTGCTTGGTCAAAATGACTTTTATCATGACCTGGTGGATGTTTACTTGATGCATGAAAGAGGCCCTCCCTCCTCTGCAGGCCTCCAGACCCAGGGTTCTGCCATACCTGGACAACTGTCTTCTCTCCCCTCCCTTCCAAATTTTTATTTTTATTTTACAACCTCATTACAAAGCAACAATGCAAGCAATCCTTCCACATTGATAATGGAAACAAATGATTCGGTCTATTCTTTGAATCATCTTTTCTCATTAGCTATCTTATATTTTCCCCTTTAGAATTTATTGTCCGAGACACACCTGCAGCTGTTTGCCTGGCACCGTGCCGTGCTGGTTGCAAGCTATGACCACTGATCTCTATGGCTATGAGCCAAATTATTGTTTAAATGTATGTATTATACAAATGTTTACAGCATTGGAAAACATAATTAATTATTGCACACCATATTAAAACAAACAAAAAAATCGATTTTCATAAATTTTTGTAAAATCTCCAGGGAGCCGCAAGGGGGAAGCTAAAGAGCCGCATGCGGCTCCGGAGCCACGGGATGCCGACCTCCGGTTTAGATGGACACCACCTCTACTGTTTACCACATCAACAACCAGGCAGGCACCAGGTCGACACATGTCCCGAAAGTGTCCAGGGATCTCCTGGAATGGGCTTTCCCCCGTCTCTCCACCCTGTGGGCAATTCCTTCCCGGCTCTCTCAAACCACCTGTCTTCTTTGTCCAAAATGTGAACATTCTGGTCCTCCAAACAATGTCCTTTGTCCATAAGGTGTAGATGTAGCGCAGAGTCATGTCCAGAGGAGGGCTCTCTGCTGTGTTGGGCCATGTGTCTGTGGGGAGGTTGTTTGTTTTCTCCAATATAAAGATCAGAGCATTCCTCATTGCATTGAACTGCAGACACCATTTAAGGGTCTATTTGGTGTTTGGAGAAAATCCTCTTGAGATTTTCGGTTCGGCAACATATGGGATGGACATGTTTTTGCGTTTAATCTTCTCACTGTTATGTTCTGCTGCGTGTCTTTTGGATTTCCTTGCTGATTTGCCTAACATCCAGTTTGGGCATCCACAGGTTTGGAGAGCATATTTGATGTGTATCTGTTCTTTGAGCTTCCCTTCTGTTTTAGTAGGGACATGCTCGGCCCACTGTTGGAAGGTTCTGATGACTGAAAGTTTGTGTTCTAGTGGGTGGTGTGAGTCAAAAAGATGATACTGGTTTGTGTGAGTGGATTTCCTATACATTTCATTCAGTCCAAACGGATGATCCTCTTTGGCCAGGCAGAGGTAGATTTGTTCGCCACGCAGATTTTGACCCATTGCCCCCTATGGTATTCCCTGACAGTATTGTCGGACACACTGGACCAGGAAGTGTTTGCCCATCCATGGCCGCGAGTTATCCTGTATGCCTTTCCAAACCTCTTGCTGATTTGGCCTGCTCTATGGAGGGTTCTAAGGAAGGCAACA